ATAGATGTATTCATTCAACTTCGTTTAAGTCCTTTTATCATCTTAACTGAAATAGGTTGAATACATCTCACATATATGATCTACTTGTAGTGTATAAAACCTGCTTATAAACGAAAAAACAAGTCGTATAGTCGATTTCTATAGAAGAAACAACTTTGTTTTATCGCAATCCCAACACAAAATGCGATATTAGAAAATGTTTCGCTTTTATTGAAATTCATATCCTCCCTGTGATCCAAGGACACTGGTGGCAAATGGCGTGATTGTTGCTGTGTCGAGATTATATGCTGATTAGACCTAGCTGAGATCGAAACTGCAGCCCACTCCCGCCTAGATAAAAATACATTTTGTAAAACCGAGGCAATGCGAAAGTGAATGATAATGCAAGGTTTATTCATATCGTTGTAAGAAAATTCAACTATCAGTCCCTTACATATCACATATATGATTTGCTGGAGGTCTCGAAAAGCAAATTATAAACGAAAAATATATAAAATCCTATTCTGCACCCCCCCTAAGCCAAAGTGGATGCCATGTCCCTGCAGAAGAAAGATGTACACCTCTTTGGTCAAGATTTAGAATAGGCAAGTGTAAAGTGACCGCTACATCTGAAAACGAGTATACCGAGCTAACTTAATTACGAGAAAGAACAGCCGCTGGATACAAGTTTCAAAGCCGGTTTAAAAAAGAGCGCCTTATCCCAGTTAGTAAAACTTCGCATTTATTTGAATAGCATCCTAGAAGAAGAAGATAGTAAGAAGAGCAATGCTCCAGTGTACAGACCTGATATAACCAATTCCAAAGAATTTATGAGATAAATACTTTAGGAAAAGCATATACTTGTGCTTTGCATTGGATTTAGCATGGAAATCAAAGCCTTATTAAGTTTGGGAAGCGCAAGTCTCCATAATTAAACAAATAAAAAACAGCTATAAGCAAGGAAGCATTATTAGCTTCATGCACGACTATATAAACGACGTCGAACGAGTGGGAAGAAAATAACAATAATAGAAGAACATTCTCAAGAAGAAGAAGAATGTATGACTTTATGTCAGATTTGACTCTGTTCGTGCTTTTACTTGAGCAAACTCTTAAACTTACTCTCATTCCACGTGAAGATTCGAAGTGAACGAACGCATAAGTCCACCTGGTCGTAAAATGATGGTGTATTGTTTTAAGACCATATTTATTTATTCAGATTAGAACTATTGTAATTATTTAATTCTTAATTAAAGTTTTCTAAGCCTGTGCTTTACATGTTTAAACGTAAATATATATGCATATATAATAGATAAAACAAATAATTCGGTCGGGCTTTCACAAGCTATCTGTCCTCTACTTACCGCCAAGAGTCGGTCTCCAACGAAGACACACTTAGAAAGTCCAGCAGGCTTGTCAGGCTGTACATGAGAGATAAAGATACCTTCAGAACCTTCACCGCCGACAATGTTGAATCCAAGGCTTCCTCCCCCAAAGCTTGCGCCTCTGCAAGGTCCAGTTGCCCCAGAAACACCAGCAACATCAGTGATTCCTGTTAAGGATGAAGTCAGTGCCAGGCCCGGAGAACTGGCTCTTCCGGCCACCTTGTTGGATGGTTCTACAAGTTTGTTACTCTGTTGCCGACGGCGATGTCCAAGACTAAGCGTTCGGCCCGGTCGCGCTGCCGGTCGTGACTGTCGCCAGACGTCAGACGGTACAGCGCAGGGTGAACCAGCAGTCGAGAATTGCTGTTGCGTCCTGCCCGACCACTTATAGAGTGTGACGAGACGAGCAAGAGGCCATTCGGTAAGCAGATCTGCCACAGAAGCGGCAGCTGTGTAGTTGGCTGTCCAGATAATGAAAAATAAAATTAAACATAAATGAGTGTGAAGGCTGAATGAGCAATAAGAGCAAAAAATGGGAAACTTAGATAATCAAAAAGCGATAAACTCTCAAAATGAAAAAAGATATAGGATGAATTAAATATAATGTAGCTTAAGGGTAAATATGTATTACTCAGTATGGAACCCTGAGTTTTTGTGTTTGCATCAAAGAGACTATGGATGAAAGAGATAATGAATGGTACCTCTCTAACAAGAGAGATGAACTAAAACTGAGGATTGGCAAATGCTTAAAGGCAAAAGAGGCCTAAGGTAAAAAAAGTAAGGAGTAATTTTAAGGGGCATAAAAGCATGAAGAGAGTCCAAGAAATAAACCCTTTAATTATTAAGTAGTGAGGCTTCTTTGAAAAACGGACACTTTTGGAATTATGTTCGTTGCTACTAGCTGAAATGTTGATGAGTTATGAGTTATGAGAAGAGAAAATACAGCAAACCGTCGAATTTTGAGTCACACGCTAGCGAATTGCTTGATTCCTCGTTTGCCAACCAAATTTCACCAAAAACCCCTATACAAAAACAGAATGAGTTTATATTACACTTCCGTGGAAATCTTTAGCAAAATAATTATAGAAATGTCATTGCTGGCTCGGGAATTTATGGGCATCCTAGTCAGGCCCAAACGCGATTGGATTGTGAATTGTTCTTAAGGAAATCAAGCATTATTTTTACATTTGCACAGACATACAGACATACATAATTGGCCAGACTACTTTTTCCCAGGGAAAGGAAGATTTTGACTACTAAGCCGATTAGCTTGTGGAAGAAAATGTCATTTTTCGTTTTTATAAGTAGGGTTTCGAGTTAGTTATATGAAATGCATTCAGCCTATTTCATTTAAGGTGATGAAGGACTGGTGGTTAAATATTCCCACAATGATACGGGTAAAGCTGACGTTTCCATTGAATTTCACATATCATTGCCTCCCCAAAAGCTGTTCCTATCCAGAATGGATTGCAGAATCGACCCTACCTAGGTCTTACCATACCCCCTTTAGGTCAGAGGGCAGATGTGAATATCAAGGAAGGCCAGGCATTTTCATATATCACATTCTCTGGTAGGATTGTCCATGAAGCAAATTATATTTGCTATGACAATCGACTACATTACTTATTTTTCGTTTTTATAAGTGGGGTTTCGATGCTACCGGTAAGTCAATCATATGAGATGAGAATTGTTATTGCCAATCCGACTTTATGTGAGTGTAAGAAGTCAGAGCAAATGTTCAGCAATTCTGAATAAACTATATCTATACATCAACACCGAAAGCATAGAGGCCTGAATAAGAAACCATGTCGTTATAAGTACTTTAAAAAGATTGGAATGGCAGTCAAATCTTACTTTACGTCTATCTACACAAGTCAACGTTTTATTGTTTTGCATTAAACGTACTATTAGCGTGTTTACTTATGGTGAAATGAGGAGACCTGTTGATGTATAGAAATCCATTAAGAATTACATTTCAAAATACCGTTCTCCTTTAGGCTTGAATACATTCAAGATCTCCTCTCATAGTCTTATAAGCAGCTTCAGGAGAATTCGAAGTGGGTTTACTGGTTGGTGCGTAAACAGAGTGTCGCCTAAACAAGAAAACCCTGGCTTTCTTGATGTATGTGAAAAGCAGGACTTCCAAAACATATTAGGCATCCTTTAATTCACATATTTAGTAGGGGCGTTGCATCTCCATAGACAACCATATATATGCTAGTGGGAAGCATTTAGCGCCGAATTTCAAAGCAAAGCAGACCTCTATAATCAATTGTGGGACAAATGGCTGGGACATTAAACAAAATGATGACACAAAATGATAAAACTTAAATTCCTGATAACAGTTAAGAGGTTAAGACTGATAATGAAGTCTGGTCATTCAATCAATGTCAATTAATGTCAGCCCTACATTTGCAAGTCACTGAAAAAATGTGGCTATTTTATGCTATTTCCTCCTGTTGGAAGACTTGATATACGAAAAAGCTGAAAAAGTGGGATTCCGGACAAGAATATGTAGGCACTGAAGCATGAGAATCCAAGCATCCCGACGTAAGATTAAAAAAAACAATGCGTAATAAGCAATCCCATAGGCCGAACGTTTCAGTGAGTAAACAAATGCCAGTCTCAAAACCGAGAAAAAACTTTACTTACTTATATAGGGAAGACAAATTGGATTTTGGATAAACCGATATATGACTCTAAAAGATTGCTAGATAAGACAAGATGGAAGATTGAGATTGCGGTTGCAAAACGGATAGCACCATATTAACTTCACATACATCTATCCGAACTAGAAATTCCTTAGGTGGAAAACCCGAATAGTTAAAAACACAGAAAAGCATAAATATAAATGCTAACAGTAAGTCATACATTAAATATTATTAATAATTGTATTTATTAAGGGATATCTGCTAAAATCCTAAATTACTCAATATAGGTATAACAGTATCAGTATTGCCATCAAGCAATTTTTCATTCAATAGTATGCAAGCTTTCCTTAGGTTCCTAGGGAAAATTAAGTTGTTTTTTAAAATAAGTTCGTATCTCCTTGAATGTGCAATGTAAAATAAATTAATTTACCCTCTAATAGTGCTATTCCACCTAAAAGGAGTAATTACTAAATCAACATCCTTGCAAAGATTAAGAAGACTTGGGAATAACAATTAATAAATTGCTGTATTATATTGGATAAACAGAGGTTCAGGTAGTAGTCTATCAGCTAGGAGGAGATTTTAAATCAACTTCGTACTCTTATATGCTTCGGACACAACTGCGGATGTCAGAGGAACTAGGACCCAAAAATATGTCGGTTCATAAATAAGCCCAATGTCAAGCTAAACTTCTCAAGATACAGAGACTACATGGCCTTGGCTCCAACATTGATGCTAACGTAGAAGAGAACAAAGCAAAAGTGAAAATGTCGTCCAGTTTGAATTAGAGGAAATAATCAAGGCTTCACATAACAAAGGCTATATGCATGAGTTGTATTGACTCTATTTTCTTTAGGGTGACGTTTCCATGGAAACGTCAGCTCAAGTCATATCATTGTGGGAAAATTATACTACCAGTCCTTCATTATCTTAAAAGAAATAGGTTGAATACATCTCATATTACTGATTTACCGGTAATCTCGAAACTCCACTTCAATACGAAAAATAAGTAATGTAGTCAAGTGCTATAGCAAATACAACTT